GCTGGAGCGGGCCTACCCGGGGGTGCTCACCAGGACTGCGGTGGCGCAGGCGACCAGCCGGGACCCGGTCCTGTCCCAGGTGGTCAAGGCGGTTGCCCGAGGGGAGGAGCTGCGTCACCAGGAGTTCAGCCACAAGACCGCCGAGCTGAGCTTGGAGCAAGGCTGCCTCCTGTGGGGTTCCAGGGTGGTGATTCCACAAAGTCTGCGGGCCAAGGTGCTGCAGCTGCTGCACGCGGGGCATCCTGGCATTGAAAAGACCAAAATGGTGGCACGGTCGCACGTTTGGTGGCCTGGCTTGGACCAGGACATCGTGCACCAGGTGCAAGGCTGCCAGGTCTGCCAGGAAAACCAGCGAGCCTCGCGCCACGTGGAGATCACCCCCTGGCCGTTCCCACAGAGGCCGTGGTCCCGCTTGCACGTGGACTATGCGGGACCCTTCAAGGGCCACTACTTCCTGGTGGTAGTGGACGCCTTCTCAAAGTGGGTGGAGGCACTGCCAGTCACCAGTCCATCGGCAAGCGCGACCATTGCGGCTCTGCGGCAGGTCTTCGCGGCGCAGGGATTGCCGGACATCATTGTGTCCGACAATGGTCCCGCTTTCGCTAGCGCCGAGTACCTCGACTGGCTGCAGAGAAATGGGATCCGCCGGATGCTGGTTCCGCCGTACCACCCCGCTTCCAACGGTGCAGCAGAGCGGGTGGTACAGACCCTCAAGAACAAGCTGAAGAGGAGCCAGCCCGGGGATTTCCGGACGCAGGTGGCCCGGGTACTGTTCCAGTACCGGACCACACCGCATGAGGTCACTGGCCGTGCCCCCTGCGAGCTTCTGCTGGGCCGGATGGTCAAGACACCCTTGGACGTCTTGCATCCAGACCTCCGGTCCACGGCGCTCCTGAAGCAGCTGAAGCAGAAGCTGGCTGCTGACCGAGGGTGCCGTCCCGGGCCTTTGCCGGAGCCGGGAGCGTCGGTGTACGCCAGGAACTTCCGTCCTGGCCCACCCTGGTCTGCCGGACGTGTGGTTTCACCAGCGAGCGCCTCATCGCTGCTCGTCCGCATGCCCGACGGGACCACCTGGCACCGGCACGCCGACCATGTCAGGCCTCGCCTCGGGACCTGGCTTCCACCCTCGGTCGTCGCTTCAGAGGACCAGCCTGCAGGGGGCCCAACAGCACCAGTCGTGGCCAGCGGAGCGCCACCCACCCCGGAGGCGACAAGCATCGCCACTCCTGTGGCACCAGTGCCACTCCCAAATCCGGTCCCTGCAGCTCCACCGGGTGGAGCGCCACCGGGACAGGCAGCGCCCGGCGTTGCCACACCTGGCTTGTCGACACCAGTGCCCAGGCGAAGTGCACGGCAGCGGAGGCCACCTGACCGCTACTCGCCGGGGTGACCTTCATCGTCGACAGGCCAGGACTTTGCATGACCAGACGCCGAGATGGTGTCGGCCGTGCGCAGTGTATTTAGTTTTGTTTTAGAACAAACAAACTGGGGGGAGGAGTGTGACAAGTTAGTGGCGCCCCCCTCCAGTCCGCCCGTCTGCGGCCGCCTGGATCGGCGGGCAACATTGATCACCGCACGCAATAAACACCGTTGAGCGTACGCCGCTCCGGTCAGACATCGTCCACCCTCACAACTAGGGATGTCGCGAACCACCCCAGGTTCGATTTCGAAAGGTTTCGATATTTGCGAAGCGAACTGAGGTTCGATTTCGAAAAATTTCGATATTTTCGTACCGACCGAGGTTCGATTTCGAAAAATTCGCAACTTTTGACCACAGCGGAGTTTCGAATTCGAAAATTTCGAAGCTTTCACGGTTTCTAAAATTTCGAATTCGAATATTTCGAATATATTTTTACTTCAGGTTCGATAAATTCGAAGATTTCGAAATTATTTGTAAAAACGATTCGAAAACTTCGAACGCTTCGAATTATTATAGACATGAAGTTCGAAAAATTCGAAGATTTCGAATTTCTTTTTGCATAAAGTTCGAAAAGTTCGAAGGTTTCGATTCTCTTTTAACGCTAAATTAAAAAAAAAAAAAAAAAAACTTTGAAGATTTTGAATTTTTTTCTAATCCAAGTTTTCAGAGTTCGAAGTCCGATTTTCAAGTTTTTCCACAGTTTCAGTTTCAAATAACGTTTTCACGACTCACTTGTTTTCACAAAATCAAGTTTAGAAAAGTTAGGGTGTGATATCTAGATTTTGCGAAGTTGGTCAGGCAATTAAATGAGACGACGAGTGTCCCGGACGTGCTAGAATATTTGCCAGTGCAGAATTGTGACCGCCAGCCCCGGGGGGGTCTTTAACGTGCATCACGCAGTAGTGATTGCACGAACACACTGTTTTACGAGACTCATCCAGTTCGAAACGGCCAGGGGCGAGCAGGAGGTTGAGGCTCAGAAAAACCTTGAAGCGACCTGGCAAACTAGCTCGCCACCCCTTGCACGCTGGTAGTAATCCGATCCGGTGAAGTTTGTAATTGTCCTGGAGGTTTATTTTCTGGGACGTAGGAATCGCCTCGCAAAAAGCACAAAAGCCGACACAACTCGAGGTCGAGGAGCGTTCTACCATACAAGTGGCGTCGGAAGAGGAAAAACGGGGGGAAAGAGGGTAGCGGGGGGGGGGGGGGGGGGGGGGGGGGGGGCTTCAGCCTTCTTTTCCCCCTTGCAGGTATTTCGGACTGTTAAAGAAAACAATACGGGGAAAGAGGGCGTGGTCGAGCTTATTTTAATCTGAAATTATTTATGCATATGTATAGCTACTGTCGCTCTTCACTGCATAAAAGGTTGCGTAGATGGTCATTGTTAGAAACTCGTTGTCAGAAGGCACTGCTCGTCACATGCTTAGTGGTTCGGAAGTTCAAAGCTGTCTTTTCGACCTAAACACCTGTGCCGATAGTAACAAAAAAAAAAAAAAAGAATAAATGCGGGAATAAAAAGCAGGAGAAAAAAAAACTATCAAGAATTCGTCGGAAGTGTTCTATTCTTGCATATTCAGAGGTTCAGAACTTCGATACAAGTTTCTTTTACCAAAATGTGTACAGGCTAAAAGAAACACGTCCCAGGAACGTGAAGCAAAAAAAAAAAGTTTTCTTTTAATGACGTGCTGAACTTGAACACTATTAGAAATCTTCTCCCATGAGTTAATTTATTCCTTAACGTGAAAAAACAATAAATATATTATTTTGCATTCTGCCGATGGCAACGATATGTACTGTCTGTGGTGTTAATTTAAATGCGATACCTCAAACAACTTAGACGAAAATAAATATCAAGTTTAGGACATAATTGCATGCAGATACATGTTTGGACATTTCTTCGAAACTCACGTTGAATAACAATAATCACATCTTAAGACGGCACTTACCTAGGCTATACATAGATCATTCTTAAAAAAAGTATAACATATCTACCATAAATAGCTCCGGCTGCAGCGTGCTTCAAATCTGGCACAAACGATAATCGTCAAAAACCCGTCGTCCTTCCTCGCCCCTTCGGGGATTTATTTCTTTAAACCTAAGCATTCCAGAACATTGAAATAAACGACATTGTCTTTCGTAAGGAACGCAGCACCGGGTGTAAAAGTTCGAGAAAACAAAATTACGAATGTACCCCACTACTTGAAATCAAATGAAACCGTCCGCCGGTCTTTCGAAGTTCGACGAACGTCGAACTTTTACCCTAAAAGTTCGAAGTTCGTCGAACTTCTGACTTTTCAAAATTCCAAGGTTCGAAACTTTTCGAATTCTCTTTATAAATAAGTTCGAAAGTTCGAAATTCATCGAATTTTTTGGTCAGTCAAGTTCGAAAGTTCGTCAAGCATCGAACCTTGCAGCGCAATAAGTTCGAAAGTTCGAAACAGATCGAATTTTTTAGCGTAATAAGTTCGACGGTTCGAAAAGCGTCGAACTTCTTAGCTTAACAAGTTCGAAAATTCGACCTCCGTCGAATTTTACGATATAGACAATTCGAAAAATCGAAATCTTTCGAACCTTTCGAACCGCTTGATTCGATCATCGAAACTTCGATTCGAAAAAAGTTCGCGGCATCCCTACTCACAACCAGGCTGCGTGTCGTCTCTCCTCGGCGGGTGCTTCGGCCCCCTTCGTCCACGTTCTAGAAAGATCGTGACAACATGCGATTGTCATTTACGGATATTGCGGATCATATTCAACCTATTTTTGAACACGATGGGACTATTTCAAATTTCGTTGAAGTATCCCTTTAAAGGCACGAAAAATAAAACACGCGATTTGATTTTTTTTCCCGACTCGGTTCGACATTTTAGTGTTTGTGCGTGCCTTTGTTTAAAACGTGTGTGTGTGTGTGTGTGTGTGTGTGTGTGTGTGTGCGTGTGCGTGTGCGTGTGCGTGTGCGTGTGCGTGTGCGTGTGCGTGCGCGCGCGCCGGCGCCTGACACAGAAATAAATGTGTCGAAAACTAAAGCCTTTGTTCGTCAGCTCTCATGATCATGTGTTGTTTCAACATACGAGCCATTTGAGATGACCCCATGACGAACACACCGATCCACGACCGTGAAATCAACGAAAAAACTTTTCCGAGATAATCTACCGAGCAATCCAAGCGGCATACAAAGTATCCCATCACAAAGTCGGAACACGCTCCCCCGACGCTCACAAACTCTAGGAACTCGGATCGACAGCGTCATCAACGGTGTCCGCTTGAGAGAGCCTAGATTTAAGAGAGAGTGCAGTACTCATCATGGATAACGTCGGTCGCAAGTGCGTACTCGTTGCGTCGTCCCGTGGCTAGAACGAAAGCGGTATAGAGAGGCGCAGCCGCTTCCAGACGATTAAACGCTCTCGTCACTTCCTCGCAGCCCGTATTGCAAACGCGGAGCATAAACCACGTGACCCCCTCGATCGAGCAGTTAGAAACACTCTCAAATCCAGACACACGTGAGATGCAGAGGTCCCCGGCGGCCAATGACGTCACAGACGGCGCTCCCTTATCAGAGTTTTATCTCTCCCCCGGCGCCCTCACCGGGGCCGCCTGAGCTTTTTGAGTGCTACGCCCGCGTGTGCTACAACAGCCCGACGTTCCGCACACAGACACCTGCGAAAACCCATCCAGACCACTGCCGCCAAAAAACCGCTACCGCTGCCGGCGGTCCAGGCAAAGCGGTGAGTCCGAGCATCGAATTCGCTTTTCAGTGGGCCTACTAACACCCGCTCGAAACCTATATCTACCAAACACAATCGTATCGAACGTTGAGGCGCGCCCGATGACAAATAGAATGGGGGTCAGTGCACTGTCAACAACCTGGAGATCGTTGGCAGCGCACCGACGCAGTATTTGACTGTAACCCGTCATTGTAACGGAGTTAGCACTGACGCGTTGCTTTTTTTCGGAAACGTAGTAGCGTACTCTTACATTTCAAAATAGTAACTGATAATGAACTTACCTTGCGCATTTCGAGTAAGGGTTAACGTAGTTACGTCACTCGTTGCAACTCCTTCCCATGACTCAAGAAAATAAAAATACACTTCAATATTTTTGGGTATTTTTATGCGCCGAGTTATTTGGATTGCACTCATCCCACACACTAAAAATTTTGCAAAATTTTGGACGTGTCCCTTGACGTTTGACGTCGAAACAGTAAAACGCTTTAATTCACGAATAAAAAGTAACGTGCGTTAGTTTATATTGCTAACCGTTCCTTTTGGTTTGATATAACGCACGGGTCTATAACGCGTTCCTTTTATCGGCCAGTAACGAGTAACGTCCATTTCGTTACTCTTTTTTTTTCCGTACTGCCTACAACACTGACTATACGTTGGAACTATCCGGAAAAGCTCACACAACATGTGCGCTTCTATGTGAAACTCCACTGTAAATTTAAATATGAGCGTGTTTGCGGAAATTTTAGTGCATCTAGCCTCTTTCCGGAAGTAGAATCGCTGGCAGAGTGCGACTGAAGATAAAAAGAAAAACAAAGTGAGACTGGCGTTGCCGATATCTGTCAGAACGGAATTTAATCAACGGTACAAGAGACATCTTTACTACAATTGCACGCGGGGTTTTCATTTTTTTTTTTAAACATTTTTGGAGGATAATTTTGTTGGCGGACTATTCTTCCGTCAAAGAGAAGATGGCTTCCGTAATAGATGTTGCGCCATAAAGCACAATAACAACATTTATCGATCTGCCATAATTTCTTTCTTCGCGCGTGTCAACGCTGAATAAAGATGTTGGTTCCCGTAAAAGCAGCCCCGCTGCTCTTTGCATTGTGCGACCGTCGTGATTGCGACCATGGCTCCAATACCGAGAAGATACATACACAGATAAGAATTTGCGAACCATTTGGCTGGAGGCAATCGGGCGTTTGGCTCGCGTCAAGTTTGCCTATGTATGTTCCCGTCATTGCGTTTCGAAAGGCAAGCATTTAAGTTATGCAGTGTGCACCTGGCCTACCCAAGCGAATATTTTTAGGTCGCGTTTAAGTTGTGCGTCACGACGAGCGCCCACCTTGCTCGCAGATGCCATGCGAAAAAATAACAAGAGCAGTAAAGCTAGAAAGACTGCAAATTTATTTTATTGATTTTTTTAGTTCTCCCGGTCGCTTATTGCGCACATCAATATACGCTGACAGACGCTTGTTTTTGACGGTGACTCGCGCATGATGGAACGCAAGAACGCGGCTTTCATAGTCATGGCTCGCAAGCGTCGCAGAGGTTTTTAGACAGGGAAGGAATAGCAGACGGACGTAAGCGAAAACGGACGCCGACGCGCAGCTTTCGTGTCCGCGTCTCACGGCATTGCAGACGACGATAGACGGTGGTGAAATAGCAGACGATGCCGGAGGCTGTCGCTCGTCTGCTCGCACAACTAGCAGACGGTGTTAGACTTCCAGACTATAGACGTACCGGATGACGTGAAACTATATGATGCCTGGTGCGCGTCTCTGACTGGTGTGTTTAATGTTTTATGTTGCCCATACAGCAAAAGTTGTCCCGAAGGGGCAACAAATGACGTCACAGAAGCGGACGTGTCACGCTGTTTGGATGTCGCGATCCTGGCAGTTGGTCGTAGAAATTCTGGCGAAAAGCACGAGCGAACGCTGAGTGTCGCTGTTTTCACAGCTTGACAACTCCTGGCTGCCAAAGCTTGCGTGGAGTGTCACACTGGAGAGCGACATGCAGCGGGACAGGCGTCTGCAACATACATCACCGCTGATGGAACACCACCAGGATCGCGGCCGGCGACAGCGTGACACTTCTATGACGTCATCAGGTGGAAATTGAGGGACCAGTTTTTTGGACGCGGTAAACACACCAGTCGGAGACGCGTTCCAGGCACCACAGTGAAAGGGAGACACTACGCTTGTTAGCGTACGTGTTCGGTCGAGCAGCCAAGCCAGTCCAGTTGTAACTGTTTACTACAGGACTTGTTTTACTACAGTTCTTGAGGTGGAAACAGGTACTGCAGCTATCTGACGCGAGCATATCAACGGTTCTCGGCACAGCACCGCAGCACTCTTTCTGCACATTTTTTGTTTTACACCCTTAAAGGAACTGTGCAACGATTTTAACGTTGAATGAATTGGCATCTTCTACGTTTGACAGTGTTCATCTTGTCACAAAGGACAGAAAACACACCTCCTTCCTTTGAAATGTTGCGATTCCGCCGCTTAATCGCGAAGCAAAACTTAGAATATTCCCCGACCTGCAGCCGCGAGTGGCGGCCATGAGAAACACGCGGCATGACGTCAATGGGGGTCTTGCAGAAAGATAGCAAGTAGTGCGAATACCTGCTCGATAAAGGGTAATTTTTTTATAAATCTTGTGGTTCCAACATAAATATAAATGCGTCAAAAACCTGGTATCATCGACAAAACTTTTCTTATATGGTGTTTCAGTGGCGCCATCTATCCTAGGTCCACAAAACCGTCAGCTCTATATGCTACCGCGAACAGCCGTCAGAAGAGGTATGGGCAGCCGTCAGAGGGGTATGGCCGGACCCAGATGAGACTTTCCTCCTTTCAGCTTATTGTTCGCGCTGCGCCAGCACGGGGTCACGCGGTCGGTCGCGAGTGGATGAGTTCTCGCTGCTCACCGATGGCTCTAAAGAGAGAGCTTCACCGGAACCCCCATTGACGTCACAGCGCACGTGACTCGGAAGATGGGGAAGGAGCTGAGAGTAGCCGAAAACCTGAATCTTTGTCCATTTTTAAAATAAAAACGAGGACATGCAGGCAAAAGCGGTTTTTTGTTCCTTACTTCAGAAAGGTCGAAACACCAACTGCCAATTTATCTAAACAAAGCACTGAAACTGCTGCACAGCTCCCTTAAACAAATTAAGAGTTCCTGTAAACCCTGCACTTTACAACCGCAAAAACCGTAGTACTCAAAATAAGGGTGCTGTGGTGTAGCCACATGTGTAAATCGCTGGAGCAACTTTTTCGCACCTTTACATACGCACTTAATAGCTTTTCACGCGTACGATAGTAAAACAATTTGATTTTTGCCCAGTCCACAAACAGGTTCACTGAAGAATGGTCTCATAATGTTTCGATTCAGAATAGTATTTACAACTGAAACCTGACAACACTAGGGGCAAGATAAATCCCGTAAACATTTATCCGCGACAAGAATGTAATAACACAGTATGATATATATTTTTATTAATTAGCCAAGTGAGCGGACATGACTAAAATGGTCAAACCGAGTTCGACCGTCGGCTTTTTTCTTAAATCGCTGATTACTGCGGTAGTCTTACTCTTAATTGTTGTAGTTTAAACCTGAATGTTTATTAAATTCTTCAGCAATAAAACAAATATTCAATATGATTTCTTAGATATGTGTAGGGAGAATATGTGATATCGCTGAACAAAGGGCGACGTTGTGACAATACGTGCGATGCAACGGTAGAGCGCACCACTGAAAATGGTTTCCTGCTTCGATACTCTGACCAGGCGGATTTTTTCGGTCGCTCACCTAGCTGTGTTTGGAGATTTGTGTTTGTCCTTTGTCCCTCTTGTTCCCCTTCTCCAGGGATTATTAGTGTCACCTTTCATACTTTTTTTACATGTGCCTCCAAAAACTTTTATTGTCACGGAATATTTTTTTATACCCTTGGAACTATATTTTAGATAGGAAATATTGATTTCAGTTACACGTATTATATCCCGCAGCTTGATGATATAATTTTAATGTTATCTTGTTCTATTTATTAGTTGGTTATGCTTTTTTGTTTTGTTTTTTGCTTTTAGTTAGGCCATTTTTTCATGAATCACGCCGTACATTTAATGTGATTATCCCGGTATGTATTTTATTATTATGTCATATATATCTCCAGCTTTTACTCAAGCTATCCTGCAGTTTGAAGGTATAATATGTGTGCGGTTTAGCGTTATTTAATACATTATTTTGTTATAGCATATTGTAGTCCGACCTTGCGGAACATTAAACGCCGACGAAATGAAACACCAACTGTCAGGTAAACAGTCGACGGTAGGCACTTGTACCGCAAGGTGATCGAGGTATAGGCACTCCTTCTATTTTGGTAGTTTTGCACTCACTTTTACCTGCTTGTGCCTAAAAAAAAAAAACGGGAATTTTAATCTCTCTGGTGTCGAGACCGTCGCACTCAAGATGGCGTATACCTGTCTCGACAAGCTTTGGCGCTCCAACAGTACAGATAGGGGTGTCGCGAACTTTTGTCGAACCAGATTTTTTGGTCGAACTTCCGGAGTTCGACTGAGTCGAACCGGTTCGACGAACCTTCGAACGTTTCACCAGATTCGACCGGTTCGACTTTATGGACAGTGTGGCCAGACCTTAATATAAGCATGTCTAGGTTTGGAGAATTTTTTTTTTTATGCAAGAGGTTATTTTATTTTGTGAACAGCTGCAATTAAAAGAAACTAATTCTAATCACTGAAGAAGTTAATAACTTAATTTTTAGTACTGTATTGACTGAAATAGCCAATCAGCGCTGCACTTAATTCATCTCTTAGCCATTACCATCCTATCCGAAGCCAAGTGGCCAGCCTGTCGCGCATGCGCACACGAGTCGAACCTCAATACAAGGTTCGTCGAACTTTTCACTAAAAGTTCGAAAAAGTCGAACCTGGTCGAACTCGAACCGCGACCGGTTCGCGACACCCCTAAGTACAGATAAG